GTCGTTCGTTGTTCACTAAAAGCCAAACTTTATTTTTATTTCCTCGCTTTTTCCTATATCAATTTATTAACCTCATCAGACCGCAGAAACAGAATGGGAAGTTGTATAGTTTCTGAACAATAGCGAAATTCAACATGATTCTTCTCATGAATTTACACATTATATTTTATTAAACGCTAGGCAGCAATGTTGATGTGATGCATTGTAACAGTGCGCTCTACTTGTCAAAGCCTTGATTCAATCACGGACATTCCTTCGTCAACATCTCATTCAATTTGCATGCTTCTTTTTCACGAAATAATGCTGCATTCGTTCGGTTGGGCCGGTATAAAGCTGAAATGGCATTGAACAAAGTCCAATATTAAAACGGGAACATTTTCAAAATATTCCACCGTTTGTTTTATCGAATATTGTCGCCGTTTTCCCTTTTTGCTGAAGAAATTTACACGTTTTTGCACCGCTGCAAAATTCCATTCAATTTCGATTTGTTCCTGCATTTCTGTTTGAATAGCGACACAAGACTCAAGGTGGCGAAGAAGACAAAAATACTTGATACTCACATGAAGAACGCTATATTTGAATTTTTTTTTGTCAAAAATGGTTTTCCATTTGATGTCACCGTAATGACGCTATTACTTCTTGAGTGACACTACACAGGAAAAGCATTCCATTCATTCTATTTTAAAGGAAATGCATCTTTTTTTTTCTCGTTAGGTAGTGAATTGCATTTTCCGAATAAATAGCAAAGTGATTTGATTTCGATTCAGAAACTGAAGTGTTTACAATGAAACACTCAAACGGAATTCAATGGAATGGAACTCCCTTTGAGGACACCCTTATTCTTGAATGAAAATTGTAAATCGCTACCGGAATCGAAGCCAAACGCATCTGATGAATTGATTCATATGTTTCACTATCTGCGTTAAGCCATTTTCTACCAAGGTGCAAAAGTGGGTTCGAAATAAGTAACCAATAGTCTATCTAGCATAATTTTCACCTGGAAGCCCAGAAAAAACTGTCATATGGAAAAATTGTGTTTGCAGTTTTTCCGGAAAATGGATTTTCCGGAAAACCATATTTTTGTAGGCTCACAAACTGATCAATCAAAAACCGTTATGCTTTATTTAAGAATATTAACTATAAGCCTATTTGGAGTTATTTTGACATGAAGAAATGAAAAAAAATGTCAGATGGAAAATTCGTCTTGTAGTTTTCCAGAAAAGCCACGGACAATTTTTGTTCGATTTTTCGAACATTGGTCATTAGTTATTATTAGTCATTATTCTTTATCATCTCCAAATCCACCCTGGGCTTCCCTAAGTACCTCCTGAACATAGGCCCAGAGGACTTACACATTTTTAAGAATAATATTCAACACTTGCTTTTTGAGTATATGTCTGTTATTGTTGCCTATCTCTAGGTTGAGATATGAATAGGGATGGCCTTTGTTCGAAAAATCGAACGCTGGTAGAAAATGGGTTAAGCCATGAACGAAATCAATCAATGATAATGTTTGTGAGATACGATTCGGTGGATGCATGACCAATACACACATGCCAATGGCATTGAAATGTATTAATAGGATTGTCCCTTCACTTTAAACGCTTACATTTCATCGACCAGTTACTTATCGATTCCTTTAAATCATTCGGAAATTCGAATTCGCATCGGAATCGCTATGCGTGTTGTATGCAAAACTTTCTTCATCTTCTGGGATTTCTTTATACCGATTTGGCATTTCCCCCTTTTCTATGTGGATATCGAAAGCGGAAAGGCTGCTTGAGAAATATCAATTCACATTCGGAGACTTCTTTACGCATCCCAAGCCATCGAATACAAAAGGTATTTTACAGATTAGATACTGGAATTCTCTATTGACTCTAATCGTCTTTCAAATGAGTTCGAGCATCAACCATTAGACATACAAAAAACGCTACCAACAACACGGTAAACAATATGCCAACAAAAATAAATGGTCTCTTTCAAATCGCATATCATTTACATACTGATAAATGTGAATGTAATGATAGCGGCGCAATCTGCATCAAAAAACCTTACTTTCCATAGAAATAAAATATCCAATGGACAGATCGAATCCTTTTCAATTCTGAACGCAAAATGACCACTTCACAAATACACGCTCTCAAGTCTTTTAAATACATTTTCGTTATTTTCAGAGATTTTTCTTCTTTATTTCAGTTACACTTGAAAATATAACGGAAAACGGATCGTCCTAAGACATTGGATTAAAGATGCAGTCATTGAAGTTGAATCAAAAGTTTTTGACTTTGGTAAATCTGTGCGCTCCACCAGGCATCGGTATTTATGTATTTGTGATGCTTTGGTGGGATCTCATTTCGAGCTCGTTTTTTCTGATTCAATACAAAAAACGTGACTTAGAAGATGTTTTGGGTAGCGTCCTTTAAGTGGCCGCTGTTAGCAGTAATATAATATTACTAATATTTACGGCATGATCACCGTTTTTATATTGGACAAACGTCTACGTGGCGTATTTTCTCTCTTTCAAAAGATTTAAAATGTAATTATCGACGTAATTCCATTTCCTTGCGAGCAAAGGGAAGGAGAAGAAATCAAGTTTCATAAATCATTTTTTTTTTGTATTTCAAAAGGTGCAAACGACGAATCGTTTCGAATTTTCACCCGAATCAATCAACACCCGAATACTGGTCATAAAATATGTGCTCGGCTATTACGTGTCGTCACACTTGCTTGTGTCAATGTCACGTTTTGTTACATTAAAGGAGGCGATGGAGTCGACACACTTTGCTTATATACGCCATACAAACACATGTACATACATTGACATTAAATCTCGGAAAATTCGATTTTGGTTGAACCACACAGAATAAGTAAAAATGTATGATTTTGATCTGTTCAAGCTTACCGTGGGACGATGACACATTTGTTGAATGGTCTTATGGGTTTCTTTGTAGTTTTTGGATGTCTGGCACATACTTTTTCATGAATTGCATTTTCTTATCATTCTTTTTGGCAACGTGTATGAACTTTCATGCGTTTCAACAACAATTCGACGCAATTTTATCGCCATTCAATGAGACAAACTCACAAAAAAGCCATTTGAATCAAAATGCTGCAACGAGCGATTCGCTTTGATAATATGGTGAAAGAGTAAGTGATGAATGTCAGTCGGGTTAGATAGTATTTGTCATTAAACGGTATATCGAATGTTATTTGTTCTTGTACATGTTCACATTCAGGCTTTTCTCGGAAGTCAGCAAAGTTTATGCGGGCGTGCTTTTCGTTCAATTACTCTGTGGAGCTTCATTTATAGCGGCGAGTCTATTCCAAATGGACATGGCCAAGAAGAACTTTTCCAATTCGTTTCGAAAACTTTTTCTCGCTCTGTTCACATTTCCAATTATTTTGACCTGTTCGTTTTTTTTTTCACTGTCGTAGGCGATTCATCATCTCGATATCTATTTCTATGCATATGTGAATGCTGTCAGCGTGTCCAATTTATTTGTATTGTCATGCAGGTGCTACGGTTACAATTAACTGGTTGAAATTCTCTGAAGCAATTTTCGAAAAGGATTTGTATTTGATGGCAGTCGACCTTCGCAGCACACATCAACCTCTTGTTTTTAACGGTTACGGTATACTCAAGCTGAATTTGGAAACATTCCCATCGAATTAAAACTAATTTTGTGAATGATTTCAGATACTTAAAACTGTAATGAGCTATTATCTCATGTTCAAGACGATCACAGAATAATATCGTAGGATGAGTTCACGTGCAAAGATTTGATTAGAAGTCGAAAGAATATTATAATCTTGATAAGATTTGGACCCGCACTCTTCAACATGCTAATTGTTTTCAATATTATTTGAAATAAATCAAAAAAAACATGATGTTACCATGCCCAAATGCGATGCAGAAAAATTACGGGTTGAACGGCGATTCTAAAATAGTTCAGCATCGAGACGATAAATTTAAAAAAAAAACAATCTCCCTCAGCAGTACAGATTGCTAACAATGAGTACCGATGCCTCAAGAATGGCATGATAAGCTTCAAATTGGTTCAAAATTATCGTTATAAATGTTCCGAATCGTTTCCATTTGTTGAGAATTTATTACAGTTGCACACAAGCAGGTACATTAAAATATACTACAAATGAACATCAAATCAAGATTCTGAAACGTTATGTCACCCGTCGTCGTTATGCTCGATTCGTTTCACATTGCCAATGATGACTCGAATAACAAAGAAAAATGCGCCGTTCATGCAGGTAACAATAAATATTACATCCATTCTGATTTTCATGTGTACTCAAATCGTTTAGATCAAACAATGAGTGGGCGAACGAACGAACGAGCAAAAGACATTGCAAGATGACGCAAACGAAGCCAAAATACACACTCACACATTGGTTCACTGGAATTTCACATATTTTATACGTGTATATATACGTAATTACATTCAAATCACGACAATTTATCTCTCCCTGCAGTGAAATTTCCAATCCGGTAAATGCGTTTTGCTTCGGCGTTAAACAAAACACGAGACAACATGGCTGGAAAAAAGAATGCCAAACACAAAATAAACAAACCATGGAATCAGTCAAACGGTATTTAGTTGATTGCTTCCACATCCACGTATACCGCACTCTCTGATCTGATGAAGAACATGCGATTGGCGCATTCAATTCATACACGTGATACATGTGAGATGTTTCTCTCGCTTTCTATCTCTCTCTCTGTCTCTCTTTTGTATTTTTGGAGATAAATAAATCGTCTGTGATAATCGACGACCCACTCACCCTCAATAAATAAACGTGTAACTAGAACAAAAGCCGTCTCAAGAACACACACTCACGCACACTCACACCCTCAGCAATGAGAACGAGAATCATTTTCTTGTTGTTCGAGAAAATTTCATTTACATTCCCACTCTGTCTCCCTTTTCATCTCGTTGGTATTCATCATTAAATTGGCACATAAAAGAGATCTTGACAAAACATTTCATTTTATCCATTTTTGATAAGATTGTTTTATTCAAAATTCGACGAAAATGTAAATCTGGTAAGTACTACCGAAAAACTTTTAACGAATTCGAAATTAACATTAGTTCAATTCCATTGTGTCTCTGAAATGTGATTGTCTAGTTTTCACGAAGCTATTGTGTGGTTGATGGAGGCTGTTGCTACTTCGGTATATACTTGGCTATATCAGCGCACATTCGTTTCTGTAAACCAATTTTCCATTGTTAGAATCGAATTTACAATTTTTTTTTTTCTCTCAAAATGTTTAAGCTTACCAAAGAGATAACATTCGAATTGGTTATGGCGTGCGGTGCCAATTCATTGCTCCACATTTGTGTTTTATGGCCTTCCAAACGAGGATCTTCCGTTGATTTCTCTAAAATATCTAAATCTTCTGGTTTCGTTGGATTTCTATTCATTTCTATGCACAAGTCAGTCTATGTTGAAAAGATTACAAATAACAGTTGAACACGAAAAAATATGCATTTTTCAAACAAAATTGAACAAGTATTTACCATGAGTTTTCTGATTTCGTCGGCGTCGGAGCTTTTTGGGGCCATTTCTAAGAATTTTATTGCGGCCACAATTTCTTCATCGGTAAATTGTAAATCAGTATCATCAACAGTGTTTGCTCCGTCAACGACCGAACTGCTGTAAGTCGACTAATGAAAAGCAAACATTCATATCAATATTGAAATTGAATGATTTCGACAAGAAAAAAAAATTGGATTACATTAATTTCATTGTTGCTAAGTTATCTTCAAACTCATTTGGAAGTGTACACTTACTTGTGCTAGCATAGCAAGCAAAAAAACTGCGAATAATTTGGACATTTCGTTTAAATGTTGCAACTGCTAAAATTCAACATGAATTAAACTTTTTTCCCGTTAAAATCGCCTATAAACCGCAACGAAGCAATGCAAAAATGAAATTAACGGCGATAATTATTTCAAGTGTTATTCATTTTAATCGCTTCCAATGATTCCACAACACTTTGACCTTCTTAATCATCACTGTGCTTGGCTGTTTGTAAATAGTCATTTTGGCACTTTGGAATGCTCTTAACAAAAGTGTTTCAAGTGGTTTTGATTACGTTATCAATCGAGTATAGAACATTTTTTCTTGCTCTCGCAACTTATTTGTGTATGTTTGTTACAGTGTTGAGAGATATACCGTACTGTGACGGTATATACCGGTATATACAACAAATGATATACCATGCCTTTAGAATCAATAAACACATAGTAAAAACAATCTCAAAAAACTAAAACTTGTTAAAATTTGACATTTCAAACATTTTTAATGACTTTGCATCATTTTTTTTTAATTGCAAAAGGCTCTTCTTCATATTATGTATATAAGTATGCTTCGGTATATACCGCTGGTATAGTATATTGATGTCTACTGATTTGCAACACTGGTTTGTTATATTGCTGATGCTGAAAAGTGGAACAGAAAAATGTATACGAATGAGAGATTTGTATTTTGAACGGAATTTCCATAGATTCATTCGTTTGTTTCCATGAATTGGTTTTGGGGAAAAAAATGAACAACAAAGTTTTTTCTAAGGACGTCAAGAGGGTCAGTTTCAATTGTAACATGCAATTATTTTGATAGTCTTTGATTCCAAGTAAATTCCACTTCTATTTCTTAAGCAACGCAAAGATATCCAAGCAAATTCAAACACAAAAATTTAGAGTATAAATTTAATGCTTGTCGATTCATTTATTTACAAATAACAAACAGTTAGGCACATTTAGTCCTGAGATCAATGTATTAGTGAGCTGTGTAGAGCGAGCAACGTATTACACATAACGTAGATTTACTTGGCGTAAACTTAGCAGCATCTGTATTACCAGTGTGTAACATTAGACAACTCCGCTCAAAAGTAGCTACGCATAGTATCGTGTGCCCAACTCTTTAATTCCTTAACAAAAACTATATTTAACAACATAGTTGGTGGTATCCGAATCGATATCTCTTGTTTTTTATATTTAAAGTGTATTCGATACTTACTCGCAATTCAGTTAGTTTAGCTTCTCCGATGAATCTCTTGTCTACCATCAATTCTTCATTCTGTAATGCCATTTTGATTACATCTCAATAAAAAAACTACGCTACAAATATACCGCGTGTATTCCATGCGCACGCTACATTTATACCATTTTCACGCTTACGCTTATTTTATACATAGTTAAATACAGAGTCGAAGGTATATTTAAGGCATATTTTTAGCGTGAACCGCATGCAAATCATACGGATAGAATACTTTGACTTAGCGTATTCTATCCGTATGCTTTGCATGCGGTTCATGCTAAAAATATGCCTTAAATATACCTTCGACTCTGTATTTAACTATGTATAAAATAAGCGTAAGCGTGAAAATGGTATAAACGTAGCGTGCGCAGGGAATACACGCGGTATATTTGTAGCCTAGTTTTTTTTTTATTGAGATATGTGTCGCTGAGCATAAAAATGGGAATACAGATCTGTTACAGCAACAACCGAACATAAAATATTGTTCCCTAAAAACGTTACATGAATTTCCATCTAACGCGAGTGTAACATGAGTTGCATTAGAAACAGTATTAGCTCATGTTAGTAGAGCTCGTCTTATGTTTACATTGGAAATACGTGTTATTGTTGTTGTAGCTTCATCGCCGTGTTGTATAATTTGTCATCATATACATGTCTAGTGACTAGACAGTATGTCATATACAAATAGAAAATTTTTTGTCTCCACAAAGAAAATATGCAGCACTTTTCGCAATAAACAAACGTCTCTTAATCGAATCAAAACTAAATTCATAACCTAAGCCAATTTATATACAAGTATCGTATCAAATACACCGTATTTACACTACTTATTATAATCGATAAGTTTATTGACTATAGAGTTGTTCTTGAGATAATGATTCAACAAATATCCACTGGAAGATCTGTGCTGGAGATTTTCATTTTCAGCGAAAAAACATGGTAGTTCAACCTATTTTTTCGAAGAAGCATGTTGACTGTTCGCATATTCGCCTAAGATACGACTCAAAAGCATTTAGTATCATTCGGCTGTTTTATCTCAACACACGAGAAATTCGTATTGAAGAAATGCTCAATTAGAATCACGAAATAGTTCTACTTGACGCTTTACGATTTCCTTCGAGATTTCTGCAAATCACAAGAATGTGATAATTTGATAATGTCACATTGTGTTTCGGTTTGTTGTATTCGCTCCTTGATCTTTTCAACCAATTGTTGATGATTTGCTTTGATCAGCTCAAATTAAATCAAACCTAAATTGCTGACTCTCCACAGTTTTTTTCCATCACAGATAGTCAACGGGAAAGGTCATGTTACATCATTTGTGTGTACCGGAAGGGTTTTCTTGGAATACAAACAACAGATTTTTCATTGCTACGAGATATCACTTTATTGAACATGGGAGCAGTACAATGGTCTCAATAATCTAATCGATTCCTATATTGTCGATCCATTCTTTTATTTTAGTTCTAGCCAATTATTAAGCGAATGGATTCATCGCACCATCTCTTTACTCGTCTTTCTTCATTTCCTTCTTTTCTTTCTCCAGCGAGATAATAACGCACATATTTTTCTAAAAAAAAAAAGAATAATACACAAAATATATTATTACAAAACTAATGACTGACTTTCCAAATAAAACATTACTCACCAAACACTTGATATGATCGGCACCGGTGGTTTGGTGGTATTTCTTGGCCCAGAAGTGAACTTTCTTCACAAAACATCCATTCTCCAATTCAGTGGCTTCGGCAATTTCTTCCTTGGTCATTGCTGGCTCCATCACGTATTTGTTAGCGCCGAGTTTTTCATAATTCTCCATCTAAATATTTTTAAATTTGATGAATATATAAGTTGTTGAGAAGAAGTTCATGTACTTCGATTTAAAACAGACTCATTTCTTGTCTTGATTCTGCAGAATTTTAATTATCTAACTCACAATCATGTCTCGTTGTTGTTCGGTTGGTCGAACCAAACGCATTCTCATTTCCATATCAACGGCAGCTTTGATATCGTCTTCAACAATACCAGCGTCTTTGGCCCATTCTTCAACTTCGCTACGTTCCACTGGACACATGAATTCTACGCAAATGTTTTTCTGAGTAAAAAAGAAGTAAATTTTGGAACATTTTAGATTAAACGACAAAAACAGTTCAATTTGTTCCAGTATGGAATTCGATAGCACTTACCAAAGCCTTCATTCTGGCAATTGGACATTGAGCTTGTTCAGTGACGTTCCACCAGAATTCCATTTTCATGGTGATATTTTTGTCGGCTTGTTCTGACCATTTCATTTCATTTGAAGTGTGCTTTTCGTTAACTTCAAACATATTGCCGTCATCATTCACCATTTCACAATGATCGGCCTAGAAAAATTTAGAACAAAACCAACGAATTACTTATTGTCAAAAAATTGTCTTATTGTCAAATTCGTACCAAAATCGATTTTTTCACTCCAGTCGCGTTGGCAGTGCTCATTTCCCAAACCAAATCAGCGATTGGTTTCCATTGTGCTTCTTTGTAGCCGGCCGTCTTTGCATTGTCCATCCATTGCGTCTTCTTTGCATCTTCAGTGACAACGATGCACATGTTTTTCTATAATAAAAATCATAAGGAAAATACAATAACAAATCACAGTTCAAATCGAATTTTTCTTCAGTCATACGCACCAAAGCCTTCATTTTTTTATGTTCACAGCTCCATGTCATGTATTTGTCATTCCAGAATTCCCATTTCGTTGTGAAATCAGCATTTTTCACATCGGCCCATTTCTTGTCTCCAACATGTTCGTTGAGCTCATTGATTTGGTCGAGATCTGCCAATTCCAAGCATTTGTCCAACTATGTGTGTTTTCGTTTCAAATGAAAATCCTCAAAATTAATTTTTTGCGCTGAATTCGGTTTTCGGAAAATGTATATGTTACCATCGACTGTTTCCATTCAGTGTTTGTGTCCATTTCGGCTGATGCGATGTCATGCTCCTGAATGAATTGCATTAAATCAACGACAGCTGCGGTTTGTTCGTCATCCCAACCAATCTTCTTCGCCGTTTCCGTCCATTTTTCTGATGTATGCTTAACGTACTCTTTCTTTGGCAAATACCGACCCGAGCAAATCTGCAAAACGAATGGAAAAATTGAAAATAATTTGAATATTGGGTTATGATCCATTTCATATGTTTCATAACACAAGAAAAACACACAATCTTTCGACACTTACCGATGCCAGAGCAACAAGAACAAATATTAATGATAATTTATTCATTTTGAACACTTCGAGTGAATTGGAATAATTTACAGGTCTCGAATTTAAATTGGAATCAGTCAGATTTTCGATTTGTGTGAACGGTTTATATACACTTTGTGTCATATGGTGTTTGCCTATAATATTGTGTGATTAAAATGATAATCAAACGGATTTTCGAATATAACGGTGACATGCCCTAAGCGAAAAAGATCAACATGTAAATTCGAAGAGATGACCTGTGCAAAAGAAATTCCCTAGACTTAAACCTATTAAACTCAAATCGAATACAGATAGATGTTTCTCGATTTCATCATTACTCTATATTTCTGACCGAATTTAATCAGCTGACAAACGACGCGAATTGTTTGTGTTTTTAGGTGCGAACACTTTTTCAATCATCCTTATCTGAACGCAGTGAACATCGGATCATTTATTTAGTATACAATTTCGATGTTTACGGCTTGCAATTAGGCAGACTGGGCAATATATTAAACATATGGAATTTTTGCGGAATTGCTTAGAAAACAATAACATCCCAATTTCCACAAATTTACACACTCAGAGGAAATCTACTGACCGAAAAGCAGCTGTTTACGCAAATAAACTGTTTACGGAAATGAGAATAGATAGATCAGTAGTCCTTGTTGGAAGTAAACAATATAGCACTTGCTTAATAGATGGCATTGGTTTTTAGAAAGATTCAGAATACGGATTTGTTTGTGCCTACATTTAGGGGATTTCAATCACTTAGAATAATTGACGGTAATCTTTAGGTGATAGATGATAGCATTAATCGCTTTTTGTATATCCATCGAACAAATATTCATTTTAGCTCACAGACAAAAAACGACAGAAAGAGAATAATTCTTCTCAATCCAATACGATTTTCTGAAGGCGTTTATTTTTGTCAAGAGCATTTTCTGCACTTATTTTCATGGCAAGTGAAATAAACACGCAATAAAATGAAACAAATTAAAATTGCAAAATAATTCGTGATAATTTTATTGTTGATTTTATGAAGCTATTTTCAAATACACCATCGGTGTGCAAGTATGTACATTTCCTTAATCACTCACAGTGTATGGATATTTTATTGCTTAACGCTCAAGCATATTCCAGAATTGATGACATTTTCTGTGTTTATTGAGACATTAATTTGCTGTTGTGGCTTCGCCTCCCGATGATGACCCCGATCCTGTTCCTGCTGTGTGCATCCGTTTCGTTCGGTACGACTGCATTTTTCCACGTGTTCTTTCGGTATTTTATTTTCGTTAGAGCTTTCTTTGGAGGAATCGAGTTTGTCGCACAATTTTTTTCTCCTTGCCCGGATCTGTGGTGGCCGTGCGATTTATGATGATGCTTATTTCGACGTCCACACTCGGTTGATTCACTTGATTCTGCAGAGTCCGATGATGAAGAAGAATTGTTACGTGCTTCTGACGAAGACGACCAAGATGACTCAGATGACAATGAGGGTGAATGCCTGGCATCAACATTTAAATGCCAAAAATGAAGGGGAAAACATTTGATATTTACTTCAAATTAGTTGCGTTAGATTTTACTCACCATCAAAGCATAGTACGAGCAATAATAAAGCAAATTCTAGCATTTTCAAATGAAAACGTTCCAATGAACAATTTAATTAAGCCACTCGACCTTAATTAAGCCAAACAAATGACTAGATTTCTACAAGTAAACTATGCCAGATCAGATTAATGAATGGAATTCCCAATATCACGCTACTTATCAGCATGTGACCCGAAATTTTGAATACGTGTACAATTTTGCTGTGTTTGTTAACACGAGGCTTCAATTTCATTTTTTCCACAAAACGCCAAATACTGGCAGATCTTAAGGATGATTAAAACATTAGTTTGTATACCAAAGGATTTCAATTTCATTTGTCATATGATTAACAGTCTAAATTCAAATCATTGCCTATATGCAATATATCGATTGAAAATTTCAGTAATTTTTTGATCGGGTTGTATTCGAATTTGAAAATAAATTTGCTTTCATCTCTACTCACATGCACATTTCAAGACAGAATATTGTTTTAAATGCTAGTAAAATGTAATTTTTCGTGGATTTTATTCAGAGCCAAAGTTGAACTTATAGTTATTGTTCTCAATCAAATCCAACACAAGCTGAACATTATTGTAAACCATGAATGTTAAAAATGCCATACGGAACATGACTCGTTTACAGAATATATACGATGCTTGAGCATTTGTGTGCATAACGCATGTATGCGATTGGCTTATTCGTTGTGTAATTGCGGGAGTTCATTTAGTCGACGGTTACATGAAATGCAAACATTTACTCGCAGAAAGCCACATCAAATGCATTGATGGTAAGTTTGGTTGGAAAATTTCAACATCAACACAATAGCGCTTAAAAAAAGTCAGCAAAGAAAAATATACTCGTGATGGCAATGGTTTCATTTCACTCACACACACACACACACACACACACACACACACACACACACACACACACCCATCCATAAACACACATGAAATAGCGCACAATGCATTCAACAAAGTGACATGAATTTGTGGTGAATATATCAACGTGAAATTGCATTGTCAGGCAAGTGATAAATTCATGCGAACAGTAGCGTGCATGAAAGAGGAAAGTGGCATTGTTGCAAAAAAAAAACTATAGCCAAAAACCCACAGCAAATAAGATATAAACCAAAAAAAGCACCCAAAAAGAAATTGACACCAGTTTTGCGCTGGTTTACTGCTCTAAAACCACACTTCACCTGCTGTAGTGTGAGAGCGGCAAAGCGGCAGCATACTGTGTGTAATGTGGTGTCAGAGCAGCAAACCAGCACTAAACTGGTGTCAATTTCTTTTTGGGCGGGCAAACAAACGTTGTGAAAAAGGGAGAGATAGATAATCGTTTTCAATTTAAATGGGATAAATTTTCGAAATTCGTTTAGGAATTTTTCGCATACATTATTATTGGAATATGGAGCGGCTGTACACAGCTCACTCTCTCGGCCATATATTGTTTCAGTTTTTAGTAGTTGTTCGGATGCGTTTTTCACTTTATTTGGAAGCTTATGTGTGTCGCAAGGAATTTTGAGTTTAAAGGGTGCATTTTATGCCCATGCTAACTAATCCACAGTCATTCGAAGCCTTTCACAATGCTAGGATGTAGTCAGTTAGAAGATATCAGTTTCCATTTTTCCCCGCTCCGACCGAAGTACTAAAATTATTTAACACGAGCTCGAACATTCTCCTCTCGGAAGACACCCGGTATTGATTGGTGCAGAGAAAACCAAAAAAAAAAGAGGGACGAGAGTAACTTTCGAACAAAAAAAAATAATCGGGAACGAAAATTGCATTTGGTCTGATGTGCATAGCTTATCTTCATTTATTGTGAAATATGCTGTTCAGGTTTTTTTTCTCGTCTCTATTTGTTGTTTCATCCCATCCAGTCCGTTGTTTGCCCTGAATTTGTAACTATATGAGATGCAACTCATAAATATACATCGCTGCATTGCTGATATTTATACGACACAAACATGACATACTCATTCTTTGTGCTCCCGTCTTTGTGTCTCACACAATATCAGCCCGCTCCCTTTCATCATCTTCCTCACCCAGTGTGGTTGTCCGTTTCACTCCTTGGCTCTGACTCTTTCTCTTCGGGTGCCTCGTTTTCGGATCGCGTCTCTGTTTTTGCCATTTCCTACGCTCATATTCGTTTTGTATTAGAATTTTTGGCGCGTGGACCCGATAAGCACACAAAAACGGCGCTGGAAGAATGGAGAGAATCTAACAACTTTCATTCGATGCTTCATAAAACCGGGAAACACAGCACAATGGCACGTAATTTAAACTCAACCACATCAAATAAATACATCATGTTTCGTTTCGTAAGCGTACACACATAAAGCTCTCGATCTCGCTCGTCTATATACATATATATATATAGCCATCTTTTGGCTTTTCGAATATTTGCAAGCATACGGTTTTACTAGTTGCTGGTTTGCAATTTTCAGCAAATATTCCCTTTGAAAAACTCCACACACACATGCACGAATTCCATACATTAACCGAAAACGATTGTTTCGATGTACGAGGAATGCATTCTCACTCTTTTCTCCACGCGCTCGCCCCCTTCCATTTCGCATCGTCTCGATCACATCGCTCATTCGTTAAGCGAACCAAACACAAAAGTAGTGAACATAAAATTCGAACGTGAATGCTTAAAGTTTTACACAATTCTTTTTTGTGGTCGTTTTGCTCCTTTCGTTGTAGCATACCAGCTACAAGCTTTCGAAATAAAATCTATTTAGATTGCAATATATATGAGATGCTGTCACTGATGTTGGTGCCGTTGTTGCTGTTGCCGCCGCCACGCCACCCTCACCATGTTGAATGTTGCATTTATTGGGTTTGCTCGTAAAACATTTTGCACATGTTAATAATTCAAATTATGTGAGTAAGCGAAGAAAGAGAAAAACAAAACAATGCACTTCCAGTTGAGCTGGTTATGTGTCACAGAAGGAAAATATGCTTTAGATTATTTTGAATTTTGAATTTTTCTCAAACATGCTCCTATACGTCAACATCACTTTATCAAAAAAAAAAAAAAGAGGAAAAAAATCCATCACACATGCCGTGCGCTCAAATTCTTGCATAGACCCCGTCCGCGCCGGTTTCACGTACAAAATTAATAAGCATTCAACCATATTGTGTTTTTGACCTGCTGAGCATATAAATTCGTGTCAACATTGAGCAAACGAGAAAGAGAGAGAGAGAGAGAGAGAGAAAAAAAATTAGCTCGACATTTTCGTGACATCGTATGCATAATGAAAATTTTAAGTGTTTTGGCATCGTCAATTTTCCCATAAACTCATGATTATTAGATAACAAATCTTGTTTTCTCTCATTTATGTTTCCAAAAATTTATCACATTATTGCCATTTGCCGTCATCGTTCATGTCATTTTCTTCTTTTCTTTTCACAGCATAAAGCAAACCAAAAAAGGGCCCTCGATAATAACTAACAGCGCTCGAATTAGGAGCAATAGTATTGTGCAAAAGATCTAGTAACAACGAGAAAAAAAGATGGATTGAACTAACAAAAAAGCAGCTAGCAGCTCCTATGAAAATATTTCATTTGCATATTTGTGAAATTTTGTCGAACATTTCAGAGAAATGCCGAGTGTGTGTGTGTGGGTGTGTATGCAGTGCGGTGCGGTGCAGAGCAAATGCGCGAATGTATGTAGGGATTCGGCTTATCGCTTAGGAAGGCATTCATGTTTATTTGTTTATCTCAATTTTTGTGCTCTCCATACATTCTATGCTCACTTTTT